TGCATGCCATCTTACGAGATTTAAACTGATGATCTATAATCCGGAATCGCCGAAGTCCCGACGAGTCCGGATTAACGACTTTTGACTGTATGTCATTAAACTATCAATTTTATTATTCCAAACTGATACTATATATATATATATATATATATATATCAGCAGCTAAAATTTACGACTTGTAATGTTTTTAATTCATATAGAGAATAAAAAGATCTGGCTCATTATTCTTTTAAGCATCATAAAACTTTAAAATGAGTGTAAAAGAAATTCATTTTTACTTTAGCTGATGCCAGATTTTAAATTAATATTTGTTTTGCATGCACAATTTTTACAATATCTGATAAAGGATAATAGAGCCTTGTAGTCCCAATATAATGTCCCATTAATGCAGATAAATGACTTTTTGTAGCAGCCATCTTCTTGGGAATTCAGGTTCTTTGAAACAGGGGACACGAAAACGTCGTGCAGTTCGTAGATTAGATAAGAAGGGGGGTCTTCAATTAAATTTCGCCCAGTTAGTATCCTACCAAAAGAAGATCCAAGAGATAGTTTAACCATTTATAGAACTAAACATCTTAATGCGATTTAAATCACGTTCTTGGCATTTGAAAGACAGACTTGCTTTAGAACACTGTATTCTGAAATTTGTAAAAAAAAAAATCATTATCATCAAGTACAAGGTGTCTGAAATGGAACTATCACACTACCAGATTAGAAACATCATTAACTTCCACTTCCGTTGCAAAAAGTCAGCTACAGAATGTCACCAAATCATTATGTATAGCTTTAGGTACTAATGTTGTATCATATGACACTGTGAAGGTTTGGTACTGTAGAGTCCAGCAAACTCGACAACTTGTTAGGAACTTTTTTTAGATATATGTAGAGGTCAAACAGAGCAAATATTACTTAGAGTATTTATGTGTATATCTTTCCTGTTCTGTTCAAAGATTTAAGCTTTCTTTTTCTGTAATTTCTGTTGGTTTTGCATTGTTCTATTCATTCTTGGAACTGCCTAACAAACTCCAAGATATGTTGTAATACTTGGCAATGCAGCTTGCTTCTTTCGAGGATACGAAGAAAGTCGAGTAGTGGCTGGCTCACATTACTTTCTATTGTTGTGAAACATCAGGAGAATTGTCTGAAGTTTTATGACTGCATCTTATTGCAAATTACACTCACATCAGCTTCATTGAGGGCATCGTTTCTCAGTTCACATCCAGTCATATAAGTATTACATATTTTTATTAACTTTTGGTATTCTGTGAAGAGAAACTGTTGTTCGGGAAGGAAAAAAAAAAAAAAAAAAAAAAAAAAAAAAAAAAAAAAAACCCGATGGTAAAACTAGATGCCTTAAAGAGACTGGACAAAGTGGAAAGTGTAAATAAAATTACCATGGATTTAGGTGTTGTACGTCAAAGGGTTAAATTTTGAGTTCTGAAAAACCCACCTCTTATTCCATAAAACTTGACAGTCTCTCAGTCCACATTATGTCGAGTTTGCAGAGGAACTCTATTGTATCACCAAAAGTTCAAAAACAAGGACTACAACATTCAAGACAAAAAGTGCTCTGGCCAGCCTACTCATGATAATGAGGCCCGCCTGTGAGAACTTTTGGAAGAAGATCAGTACACAATCACTTGAGAGCTCATTAAGGAGTTAGACAACAGTCCCACGATGCATAGCAGAAACTTGGCGTAAAAGTTCAATTGCTGGATGCCGCATGAGCTGACTAAAGCAGATAAGGATAGACGTGTTCAGACCTGCACTAATACCAATGCAAGAATAAAATTCTGGCCCAGGTCATCTCTTTGATTAAAAGTGGATTTATTTCATCATAGGCCAAAATGGGGGTTGATCTGTGGCTGGTAAGCCCGTTGGCAGCATATCAAAGAGCAATTTGACTAACAAAAAGATCATGCTTTGTATCTGGTGGGATTGCAGTAGTATTATCCATAAAGAGTATCTGGAAAACGGTAAAACTCTGGACAGTAAGGTGTACAGCAGGATGCTAGTCCGAGTTGATGCCACTATCAAAGAAAATCTTCGAACTGAATTCCGGCGTAAAAAGGTAATATTCCATCAAGCTAATGCAAGACCACATGTGTCTGCTTTTGCCAGCTGGACTCTCTACGGACTCGAATGGAATCTTTTGCCACACACACCATACAGCCCCGACATATCTCCTTCGAACTTCTACCTTTTTTCATACCCTGCAGGTACTACCTTCTATTCTGTACAGGATGTCCAAAATGAGGCTGATCTGTTTTTAGACTCATGGCCACCAAGCTTTGAAAAACTACCAAAATGTTGGCGGAAAAGCATAGATTCAGATGGTGATTACTACCCACACTAAAGGTACTACTTTCACACTTTTCCCCCCCTAACTTTAGTAAGAACGTTTTTTTGGCAGAAAACTTTCTTTACAACCACATAGTTAAATATGTTACAGACTTCAAATTTTAATCAAGTTCTTCAGTTACAATTTCTGCAATTTAATTTTGTTGTATAGCAGAGAGAATCTCACATTTTAATCAAATGTTTCAACATTTGTTGATTTTATGCTTTTGAAAATAATGTCTGCCAAGCATTTTTCATGACTTGGAAGTACTTTAATCATTAATTAGTGCAGCTAAAATATATAATCTAATCATCAATCGGAAAATTGCTAATAATTATCTTTTTTTGAACGTTGAATACGTAATATTTTCACTAAAACATTAAAATTTTATGCAATTAGAAATTTATTTTTCAATAACTATGTTAGATAAATTAGGTAATTAGTAGCTAACTTAAAAAATATTTTAGTCACACAACGCAAATAAAACTTAATGTAATTATTATATTTTTGATAAAAACATAAATATGAAGTAGAATCAATAATAATCTTGAGTATCAGAATAAAAATAATGCAAAATTGTGTTTTCAAGTATTAATATGGGAAAACATTAAATGCTATGGTATTTAGTGTTGATAAAACGAATATAAAAATATTAATGATTTAAGATATTGAATAACTATAATAAAATTGAATATGGATAACACAATTTAAAAGTGAAATGTATAAAAACAATCTGAAATTATGGTGAATGAATGTTATAATTATATAAATAATATTGTAGAAAGAACTGGTTCAGAATCAGAGTAAAATTTCTTTATCTCTGAATATATTTCTTTCCACCTTGCATGCAAAAAAAATTGAGGACTACTATTTTTAAGAAGGAGCATAATATTTTCTTTTATAGAAATTATCATTATAATTATGGAATGTTTTAATCAAGTTACCTTAAGTAAGGTGCAGAAGCTTTCTCAAATAACTGATCCATCACCCCGTAACACGTAAATCAAAGATATACCCAATTTCTACACTGAAATATTCACTTTTAGAGAATTATGAAGTCTCAGTTTTAAAATTAGGTATTTAAAGTAAAAATACATAAGAATGTAATTATAATTTTAGTAAGCTACTACAATATTTATGATGTCAAAAAATCAATTATAAAAATGAAATTTAGAATATTATTTTGTGATGACAATGCATGGAATGAAGCATTGATTATATAAAATTTTTATATTTATGATAATCTCTGAAAAAAGGTTGAAAGTCCTAGTAGTTATCTGGACTTTTGGAAACTGCACTAAGGAATGAAATTTTATTAGGGGTATAAAAATTGTGATTACCTGCAGTCAGATAGGTCAGTTATACAGAAGAAAATTGGAATATGATATTATACTGACAATGTATGGAATGAAGCATTCATTGGTGATATAAAATCTTTCTATTTATGATATTCTGCGAAAAGGTTTGAAAAATCTTCTATAAATATTCTTAGTAGTTATTCTGGACTTTTTGAAACTGCACTGTGGACCGAAATTTTATTAGAATTATAAAAACTGTAATTATTCTCAAAATATATTATGCTTAAAATTTATGTTCCCCTTTATTAAAATTATTTAGCTCAAAATTTCAAGATTTGCCTGTTCCATATTATATTTCTGCTCTAACTTTTTTTTTTTTTTTCCTTTGAAGGGGTAGGAGGGAATGGATCAAGATAAAAAATATGTAAATCTAAATTCTAGGTTTAATTTGCAATAGTCTTTTGGTTCTCTATACTGCCTTTCCATCCTAAAAGTACTAATTGATTAATAAATTGCTCTAAAAACTGTGTAGTTTCAAAATTAATCTATGTCATTGCTTAATGATGCAGACACTTACACAATGCTTCAGTGAATACTGATTTCAAATCAGTTTAATAGTTCTAAATAGGGATTTCATCTTTGACATGTTGCATTCTCTATTACTTTTGTACTGTTAACTCATTTGCCATTCATCCTCCATCAAAATTGTTCTTAACATGACAAAAGGCAAATACATGATTAAAAAATGGGCATGCAGATTGCGCTATATAATTCAAATTATAACTATGCTCCTTAAGAATAAAGAAATATTAAATTAGCCATAGTTGCAACTACTACTACTATATACAACACAATAGCAACAACAATATTATTTCATATATATGTATAAAATAAAAAAAAGTGTGAAAAATGAGTTATATATATATTGGAATTACAAAATAAGCTTTTTATATTTCTTTGGTAAAAATCCAAGAGATATTCCCCTTGATTTATATACAGAGTGTAATCAATTTAAATTACTTTAAATTTTAGTCTTTCCTTTCTGCTATATCTTTAAAACAGGCATTTCTTATTGATTTAATAAAAAATACAATTAAGCCGTTTATTTACATATATAGGCAGAAACGAATAAAATTACTGTTAAAAATGTTATTAAAACCTTAAAAGATTTAATTACCAAATTATAATCAAATAAATGCAAACTGCAATTTGGTCGCAAGCCAAATCAACATTTCAACATACATTTTAGTCATTTTTTAAATATTATGTATGTAAGTCTCCCAAATGAGCTTTCTCATATGGCAGAAGAGAATATATTCTATTCCTTCATTGTATTAAATTTACTTTCAAGTAAAACACAATTCCATATTTATATCTTTATTGACAACAAAGCATGTATAAAATACAGTTCAGGTAATAGATTCTCATTGAAAAAATCATGAATTTTATAGATTTCCAGATTTAAAAAAATTATTAAACAAAACTTCTAGAGTCAATATATTTCCTATATTGATTATACACCATTAAGAAATTGAAAATCAGTTATCTACATTAATTGTAAAGATTAGGAAGTTCAAATTGATCGACTTGGTTTCTGTTCACTGATGAGCTGCTAACTGCTGAAGTAAAAGACGTCTGCGATGTTCTAATTCTTCCTCACTTGCATCACTCTCTGAGAATTTCTAAAGGAAATAAATAATAAAAATAAATTGTATTAACAGAGTGAGAGAAACTAATTCTAGAAAGTAAATGAAATACATTTATAGAAAAAAGGGGATTAACATATACATGTATGTTTATATGTACTATTTCTGTCATCCTGTCAAAAAGCTAGTCAACAAAAGCTTAAACAAATTATTAATCCATACAAAACATGCACTTACTTTAAAATTTCCAGCTAGAAATTATATATATATATATTTTTAATTTATGAGCATTAAAATACTTGTACTACTCACACAGAATGACCTACAATTAGCCACAGTAGTTCTAATTATTTTCATTATCTCAATATGAGCTGTTAAGTAGTACATTAAAGTATCCAAAAGAAAATTAACCACTTCAAATCTAATTAAGTTGACTGCTTTTATATCTTAAAACAACTTATTAATAGTGTAATAACTAAAATTATTAGACTACTGTTTTGAATATTTAGAAAATAAAACATTTTAATGATTTATAAGACCATAAATTAAGAAAGAACATTATATACAGATTCAAAGAGCTGGGCTTCAGAATATTAAAAAAATTAAATACAGAAAACTTTTTTTATTATTTTGATAATTAAGAATAAAAAAATCATTTATATTATTTTACAGTTCTGTTCATAAACATATGTTAATAGCATGTTATGATATATAAGAATCATAACATTAACTCACCCCTTTAGGTTTACGGATGCCAAGCAATGTGCCAGTCTGATATGTATGCATGGGAGAAAAATAAAGCAGATGCACTCTTAAGTTATATAAGGACATTAACCCATATAATCAACTTACATCTGTTATTAATTTGGAAAGAAACATACAAAATAGTTCTTTTCATTTTTGTCTGGAAAAGCAAAATGTAAAATGCCTGTTTTTTTTTACTGATATAAGCTTAATAAACCTTTTTTGGCAACAAGCTTGAGCAACTTTTCTCGAGTTTTTCCATTTACAATCCCAGCAAAAATAATTTTCCAATAAAAATTTAAATGATAGAAAAATTAGGACAAGTAAATAAAATAAATTTTGGAAACTGGAATTGCCAATTATAAGAAATAAAAGGGCAAAAAATGATAGATTATAATTCAAATGCAGAATAAGTTTCAAGTCATACAAATTTATCTCGTAAGTGACTTTATCAGATGTGGTGTTTTCATTAAATTAAAAAAAATCAATCAATCATGCATACATTTTCACTGAATTATTAATATGGATAATCAGAAATATTTATAAGTGTATTCTAACTGTATCAAAATATATTAGCTTTCATTTAAATTTTCACATTACTGTAACATATATAGCATGAAAGTTATTGAAAAAAAATTAAATGTTCAAAGTAGCACACGAAAGTTTATCAATTGAATCTCAAACTGAATTTAAACAGAATATCTGTATTTTAAATTAATAATTAGTTTTTTTTAAACGCAAAGAAAATCATTAACTAATAATACTGATTCAATTATACAAAAGAAAAAAAGAAAGCACTTTATGTAACAGCATACATTGCAGTGAAGTAATATGGATTCAAATACAAAATACGTTATTTAAAATTAACATTTAATTACAGCAAATAAAATAATCAAAGTGGATTAAGATACATAAAATCAAATGAAAATTTTTAAAACCCAAATTAAAATATGTAAAGCTTTTATATTATCTAATACAAAAATGGAATACCTCTAATAAAATGTTCCAAGACGAGAGCTTTGATTTTCTATTAATCCACACAGAATTAAATCGATTTTCTCTGAAGTAATATGATTTTCAAGATTCAATGCCAGAATTTAACACTCAGTTTTTTTTACATAAATTTTGATAACAATAAATGGATTGATGTTTCTAAGATATTTTAATGATGTAGAGATAATTACTTTCTACTGGCTAAACTGCAAAAAAGGTGCATCAGTAAAATTTATGATTCAACAAAAATTACTCACTGCATCATAACATGATGACTTCAATATGCCAATGTAAAAGGGATAAATAAAATCATTACATTTTCGTATATAGTTTGCATAAACATTTTATGATTGACTATTAATAAGCTATTATCTGACAAATGAAATGATAATACTTATTCACAAAAACTATATTACTATTTATTTTGAAATAAAGTACATTTTCCTTGAAATTAATGACATTTAATCATTAAACCTTGAAGGACTACTCCAAAGATAGATTTGAAGTGCATTTGTACTTTTACAGAAGCAAAATTTATAGAAACTAAAACTAAAGGTATCCTAAAATGAAGTAAATGGAAATATAAAGAATAATTTAAGTGCTAAATAAATGTCAAAGAAAAAGTTATTCCCTAGAAATTCTCCTAACAGAAACCTATAAATAACATGTTTTTTCTGAAAAGCACACACTGTACCTGCTTTTTATGTAATGGTTACATTTCTTATGTAAGTCTTGAAATTAAATATGGTTTATGCTATGGGGAAGAAAACCACCAATTCAAAATCATGCAAAATTCAACTCCAGATTCACAAAAGCTTCATAGAAAAACTGAACGCACTTTGTGCTAGACTCAAAAAATGTACTGAATTTCTACAAAAGCAATATCTAAGGTTGAAATGGCCTATTTGTGAATGACTGAGGCTTTTGATTAATTTAAAAAAAGTTATATTTAAACAACTATTTGGTCATTAAAATAATAGCATCAATGAAATAAAATGCACACATTTAAAATACAACCTGGAATATGTTTCCATATTTAATTATTAAAATAATAACTGAATTTGTAACATTTCTAACCTTCAAAAATGGCTATATGGTTTTTTTTTAAAACAGTAATCCTGATTACTTTAACTGCTGACAGTAACCAATTTGATTTCTCTTTTCAAAATGTTATTTTTAAAAACTAATAACATTGTTATAGCACATAAATTCTGCCTAAAACTGGCTTATCAAAAGTAATAAAATGAGAAAATGCATAAATCCATAAATAATTCTACACTATTTCATTTACACACATTTCAGAAAAATTATGGAAAAACCAGATATGGTTTTAAAACTATATTTAATTAATAATAGTCCTGCATCAGCAGTTTATAACGGACTTCTTCTCCTAATGATACAGCCAAATATGGTCAAAATACAAAGGTTCGCCCCCAAAAGAAAAAGAATATAAGTCAAATGCAAGTTGAATACAAGTTTCAAAATACAAGTTAAATAAGAGCAGCTCATTAACTTAGCAAAACAGAGAAACTTAGGCATGCTCATAACTGTCTCTTCACAGCAATTACGATTATTAGTATGTGCATTTATGCTTTGGACAAATTTAAACGAACTGAAAAGAGAGTGAAGAGATCAACATTGACCATACAAGGTTAAGATCACATTGTAGATGTTATCCTTAGCTATTGTAGATGCTATCCTACCATTCATAGGCAGCTGTAAATGTAATGGAAAGAAGTTGTTGCATGGTTTTAACAAATTAGGGTAACTGTTCGACTCACTTTTTATTTTTGTTTACCATACCTAAGCATGTTAGTAAAAAGAAATTACTTCTATTTCTATTATCTCTTAAAACAGTAAATTAATTACATTGTGCAATGTAGATACTAAATCTCCTTATTGCTTTGTCATCTTTTGAGGACAGCAGAATCACTTCCACATTTACTAGCAGGAGAGTATTTTACAGTGTTTACTACACTTCACATTAATTAGTAGTACACAATATGTAATGTAGTATTTGGTATATTTTACTAACTTAACTTAGGTAATATATTACTTTGTGAAATTCATCAATTATTACTAATATGATACAAATGTAATACATACTATAGCATTTGCTGTTATTTGCATTTCAATTATTCATAATACACCTTATAATTTATTAATGGATGTAGGGCACTACTGTGATGTTTGTGGATTCTGTCACTAATCAGAATTAAATGGGATTGTAACAAAGTAAATAAATGTATAGCTGTTTAGAAAATATAACACTTCTGAGTTGATAATGTAATTATAAAACATATATAAAATAAACTGATGACTTGCCATTTAAAAAGGATTTTACTGATAACTTAACATTTATAGAAACATTGTTGCTAGTTATTTGATAAGACATAGATACCTATTTAGGGGGAAAAAAATTTCAGCGCACTGAAAGAAGTTTAAAATTCATATATGATGAAAACATCCTTCCCTGAATACAGAGAAAATGCAACAAGATTTTTTTTTATTTATATTTATGAATAACCAATTTCTTAAAAATAACTTGCTAATTTACATAAAGATTTTCTTATTACCTGGAAACTGTTTTATAACTTTTAAAATAATATATAACTAATTTTTGCTTCTGAATTCTAATACGCAGCTCCAAATTACATATTTTCTTATCACTGGTATATACCGATATACATTTGAAATATAATTGACTAAGTATGATAAGTATTGAATTAAGAGAGAGAACTTTTTATTAATTGTTGTCCTTCATGCTATTTTTATTTTCAACTGTCCACAGCAAAGAATTAATTTAAGAAATATCTCCCCCACTAAGTAAAATTTTTTACCACAGTCTCTATTATTTAAAAAATGAAGATTCGGTGAGTGAGTATATCATACTGTGAAAAGATGGTGGTACTTGGTACTTAGAGCTACCAAATTTTGCATGCACGTAGTCTGGTACATGTGCACTCACAGCCCAAATTTACTTTTAGTTTTTATATTTTATGCAGACTTAATTAATTTTATTTTTGAAAAGATTAATAAAATCAATGTATGCATACAGTTATAATTTTACATACATCTTTCACCTTCTCGAGCACAAGAGAATGGAATTTGAAAATTCCATGGAACAAAAGTCCGAAGTCCTGCCCCTCTCCAAAAAAGGTTTTAAGAGAAGTTTGTTGGGTAGTTTTTAGTGAGTGTAATAGAAGCTTGCCATATTAATATTCTTTGTTTATTGTGATAATCCACTAACATGATTTTATTCTTCAGTGAAGAAAACATCTTATTGTTCAACAATTAAATACTAAAAATAAAATATGGATTAGCTTATTTCTTTCCAACAGATCTTCTCGACTATATTTACATTATTTTTGTCATGTTATTTTGTTTTCTGGTAAATACTAGCAGTACTGATATTACTGAAATATTGATGGTATCATATTTACATTTTTGCTTTTATTTTTTATTAAACAATTTTTTTATTAACAATGGTAGGGAGCACAACAGTCATTCTGTAGCAATCCTTATACATATTACTATATAGTAAAATTTTTTCTTTTCATCTAAGCGCAAAATGGGGGTGTTGCATGTTTCTCAAACAACAGTCGTTCTATAGTAATCCTCCTCATATATTATTGTGGAAATCTGCTTTATCTCTCTTTATCTGTGCAATAAAACCTAGCATTTCATTTTCTCAAAGAATAACAGTTATTCTGTAGCAGTCCTCATATGTATTATTTCTGAAGTTAAATTTTTTTTTTTTTTTTTTTTTTTTTTTAAAGCTTTATCTATGTAGCCAGACCTGATGCTGCATATTTCTCAGAGAACATCAGAAAAAATCAGGAAAGGAACTTGAAAATAATATCATAAGATACACAGGAGGATCTAACATAAAGAAAACTGAAGAATTTCTGTAAATTATAGGCACAAGTTCAGCTTGTTATTAAAATTACGTGTATTAAAGAAGCATATTTGGGTACATATGAGAATGTTTTGCTATACCGGTGATATCATAATTCAATATCTGACTTTCTAGCTCATTAATTTGCTGTTTAAAAAACTAAATATTCATTGTGCAAACACTTCCCTGAATTTGGTTATACAAAATAACTTACATATATAACATTATCTTTTATCAAATTTACAGGTACATTTTATTTTGTATTAGATGATTTTTCAAGAACTACTATGTAATATGCTAGCTGTTAGCTGGAGAATTAAACTATAAAGAATTTCAGATTATAGAGCGTAATCTAATACATATTTTAATACCAATACATGTACAACAATTTTAGTCTTATGTTTATTTTTTAAAGTTTCTAAATTCATCTTTCAACCAATTATTATTTGAAAGTAACCTGGTGAAATATCAACTCAGCAACTGTCAGAAACAAAAGCTGAGCATAAATCAATTTAATGATTATGAATTTGAAACAAAGAACTATGTTTCACACATGGATAAATTTTAAAAATCTCTAATAATTTTTTCCATAATTCCATGTTTAGGTCAATGCAGACAAATGATTCTTACCTAAATTCTGTTACATCAATAAAGTAATGAAGAATCTGTACATACGTATTTTTCCCGCACTGTGAAAGAAATGGTGGCACCTACAACACATATAGTCCTCCACCTGAATATGTGTGTCTCAAGAGCTTGAAGTTTGGATTTGTTTTTATTTATTTTATATTTTGTGTGAATTGAATGACTTTCTGATTAACAAACTTGGTGATTTAAAAGCAATGTATTGGTCCCTGGCAAAACATTAGATGTTTACAACAAGTTTAATAAAAACACTCAGTGATATAAAAAAAAAGTGTTGTCATTTGGCAAAGCTTAATATAGATTAAATATATGTTTCAGATTAAATAAGAAAACTCAGCAGGTTAATGGAAATGCGTTGCCACTACCTGAAATAAAATATTCTCATCTTCCACATGCCAGTATGTTGCTCTGCAAAGCTTAAGATATTTAATTTTTCTTTCAAATTTAATTTGTCTGTTACTGATTAACAAATTAAGAATTTAAAAGAATAAATGCAGTTTTTCATCTCTATTATTAATTACTAGATGAATTCATGATATTACCCGAACTCATAAAAATCATTATATTTATATTCGATTTTTATAACTATTACTTTAGGTTATTAAGTTAGAATTAATGGCCATTCATGCTTCAAAATGTTTACCTCTTCTAAAATAAATGTCAGAATACAAATTTTGCAAAAAAGTTCTAAATTTGACACAGAAATTCAATTCACAAAATTATTTTTCTGCTGAAAAATGATAAAAATTTACTACACAATATGATGATACTGAATTGAAAATGTTTAACAAAGTGAGATATTAAAAACACCATTATACGAAATGAAAAATTATTGCATATTAATTCTTTTGTCTTTTGGAATTCATGTTAACTTATTTCAGTAATTTTATGTTCTGTAGTTTCTGCATTATTTTGTCAAGTGTGTTTTTATGACATAGAAAAAGAGCTATTCAGCATTTATATTGACTTTAATGTAAAATGCTTAGAACAATTATTTCGCACTGTTATAACCATAATACAATATGGCAATATGAAAATTATAGAGATAAATAAATATTAATAATGAACAAGGGTTTTCTTAAAAACCAACAATGGAATTATTACATTTTTTCATCGCTCATATATACAAGAAAGTCAATAAAATTATAAGAACCTACAGAAATACATTTAAAAACATCAAAACAAATTAATCTTAGGAACAATTGCTTTAAAAATATCAAAACAGGCTTACAAGACTGACTAATAGCAAGTATAATTTTTAGTATCAGTATTCTACTAGAATTCTATCTAAAAATAAGGAACTGTTCAAGGAAATAATTCTTTATACTGACTAATCGCTTTTATTCACCCCATGTCTGAAATGATCAAACTAATAAACTAGTTAATACAAGAGTTAGTATATATAACTGACTTGCAAAGTTAACAAACTTTGTACTGGTAATAAAAACTGGCATTTTAAATTTATCACCTAAAATTATATTTATTTCTAATTTAGTAGGTTTCCCTCTCCATAATATGAATTGGATATATTACAATGATATCTTACAAATATGTTTCAGCCATAAGACTATGTAGTTAATTTTAAGCTCAGTTTTAAAAGATAAAATAATATGAAAATTATTACAACAAAAAAAACACATAAAATACAGTTTCATTACAGAAACAGAATGGATACATAGAATATTATCAACATAAAAAATAACTGCAACTCTTAAAATGAAATAGAGCCGCCTTTCGTAAATAATTCCTCTGAAATATGTTCTAGCGACTTATTCGACAAACCTTGTCACTTGCTTGATCGACTTCTCCTTCTTCTCTAGAAATACTACTGCTATGGCTGGGACTTCTATTTCGATGTCTGTTATCTTTTTTCTTTTTTTTACGGTCACGGTCTCGACGATCAACATCGCTATAAGCTTCTGATGAAGAAGGCTTTAAAAAGATAAACATAATATCAGGCTGTTGAAAGCAAAACAAAGCTTTTTTAAAAGAGTTTATTCTTAAGCTATTTAATATATATATTCAAATTTTCGTTTTCCTATAGCAGAAACATAAATTTAGTGTATTTCCATTACCTTTTATTTCAGCATTCTCGCACTGTCAACAGCATTTTTTATAGTTACTACATACGCAGCAATACATTACATAATAAAAGATGCTCACTAAAATTTGCTGACAAACTCAAAAAGAGACTTTTGATTTCATCACAACCCAAACTGTGAAATATGATGAATCATATAATAATATAAACATTTAGCATTAAAAATACCATTTGTGATAAGGTCGCATAGATAATGTCCTTGTCTAATTTCGTTCAGGGGGACTGGACTTGGAATGCAATTGTTCCTCTTTTCATACCAGAGGAGAAAGCTTGTTGCAACCTTTCAAGATCACTTCAATTGTTTCAGGGATTAAAAGTCTTTCACCAGAGTCAGAATGTGGTCGCCTTTGTTGCCTACCACAGAAGGAATACCCCCTCCCGAGATTCGGCAGTGACACAGTGAGGGCAGTCAAGTTTTTGCAGCAAGAAGTTAAAATTTGGGAAGGGGGGAAGTCTTTAAGAGAAAAATTTTAAAACTACAGCAGTTTTAAAAAAAAATAATAAAAAAAATTTTTTTTTAACAGTTGGTATATAAGGACTTGAATGTAATGTTCAGCAATGTGTGTAACTTATGAGAAAAGTTTCAGGGTACTCAATTCACACACAGAAAGCCTGAGCAAGGTCATCCAAAAGCCATTATAGCCAATGAAGCTTGATAGTTGTCTATTCCAGCAAAATTTAACAGCACTGCACCAAATTTTTAGCTCTCTTATGACTTTTATGATGTCAAAGAAGAGTTATTCTTTCTAGAAGACCATACAGGAAATATTACTCATACAGCTGCCTTCTACACCCCCTAAAGTTTTGCCGACTTGTTCAGATTCACTCTGTTTATGAGTTCTATTTGCAAGAAAATGTACTGTCTGTAATGTCTGAACAAGTGAGCAAAACTGTAGGGGGTGATAGAAGGCAGCTGTATGAGCAATATTCGTCATAGAATGTATGGTCAGAATGTAAACGGCGAGCTGCTAGGTGACATTGTAAAATGGTATAAAAGGGTCAGTCCTTGCACCTAATGACATTTTCTACACAGGATTGTCGAGAGGATGGCTGGTTATACGAACCACGAAATTTCCAGGGCAATGGAGTGGTGGTCCCACAGCTTGGCCACCAAAGATCACCAGATTCCTCTTGTTTAAACATTTTCCTGAGAGGCCATATGAAAAAACCTAATCTACGAGTGCCCTATTGAAACCGATATGGATCTAGCCGCCAGGATAGCCAATGTTGCTGGCGATATTTGGGAAATGCCTGATGTCTCTGCAAATATGCATCAATCCCTATCCCATAGGTGTGAAGCCTGCATTACAGCTGGCAGAAGGTCTTTTGAGCAATTTCTTTGAGGATGTACATCAATTACATTCCTGTTAATAAAATGTTTTCTGAAGAATCTCCTCTCATTTTTGTGATGATTCTTTAAATGTGACAGTAGAAAACTTACCCTTTAACTTCTCATCTCTTGCATTCCGACCATATATTCTGACTAATATTGCTCATATAGCTGCCTTCTACATCCCCTAAAGTTTCGCCCACTTGTTCAGATTCACTCTGTTTACGAATTCTATTTGCAAGAAAATGTACTGTCTGCATCCGTTCATGTCTGTGCATAAAATAGCCTGTTCAGCGTGGTGCAAAAAACACTGACATTGGACTAGCATCAGCAGTGAAACTATCTCTTTATAGAAGGAACCTGATTTGGCATAACCACTGATTTTTGATGTACCTTCATCTGAATAGAACTAGGGGCCCACTACCTGTCCTTCAATATCCAAGAAACGAACCAGCATAGCAGTGGAGGTTTGATGGTATTTGCTATATGGGCATGTAACCTATATATTTTTATGGATGAAAGCACTTCTCCAAGTATGGGTAACCTGGCAGATATTTGTTGGAATGTGACACAGAATATGTTTAGGATGATTCCCCCCCCCCTAGAAAATGAAAACAGCATTGCTGCGGAACCAACTGCCAAAGAGACACATAAACTGCTTAGTTTCCAGAATCAAATCATGATACAAGAGTAATTATTGTTAGAGGGGGACCATAGCCGATATTAGAAACTTTTTTGTTTCATCTTACAAATTCTGTTTTAGACACTACTGTACTCATGGGCCTTATGCACAATCATGCATGTATATAATGAATGTTGCATGGTGTGGTTCATTTTTTTTTTATATCTCATTGATTTTTTAAATTGGGGTATTTGCTTGTAGGATTATTTGAAATTTATTACTTATGAATTTCAATTTTTGGTCTTTGTCAAAAATTGGTTCTAAATGTCTTTACTGAAAATTTTTCAGCAGCTTAATGGACGAAAATGCTAGGCATGAATATATTATGTTATTAAAATTGTTTTGTAATTATATACATTAAATATACGTAGCGTATTCGGAAACTAAGTACCATTTTATTCTAGCGCCGTAGCAGCGCTGTGGTATGCGTCCCGCGTATGCGCACTAGTCTTTCTTGTTCACTGACTTTCAATTGTCGCCATTTTGGTTGCTCGATGTTGTGTTTTCAGTTTGCTGTGCGCATTCAAAATGTTTATGACAATTAGTTCTCCCGCTGACTGTGAGATTCGTGCCGTGATTAAATTTTTAAACGCAAGGAATGTTAAACCTGCCAAAAATTTATCGTCAAGTGACAGAAGTTTACGGTGAATACGCGATAAGTGATGGAATGGTGAGAAAGTGGGTAAGAATGTTTAATGCAGGTCGAACAAATGTCCACGCCGAGGCTCGGAGTGGTTCGGCCTTCTGTTGTCACCGATGATTTGGTAAGGAAAGCTGATGAAGCAATTCATGAGAATAGACGCTTCACAATGACAACTCTTTCAGAGGCATTTCCACAAATTTCACGTACTGTTTTGTTCGAAATTGTGTCTGACCGCTTGAATTATCGCAAACTGTGTTCCCGATGGGTTCCAAAAATGCTCACTGATGTTCACAAAACAAAAAGCGACTTGGCAGTGCCCTGACATTTCTCATGCGGTACAGTGATGAGGGAGAAAACTTTTTAAACCAAATTATGACAGGTGATGAAACTTGGGTGTGTCATTTCACACCAGAATCGAAACAACAACATCGATGGAGTGGAGACACACTCATGCTCTGAAAAAACAAAAGTTCAAAGTGACAATGTCATCACAAAAAATCATGTGCACTGTCTTCTGGGATAGGAAAGGCGTTTTGCTTACTGAATTTCTTCCCAGAGGTGAAACCATTAATGCGGCACGATATTGTGAGACTTTAACTAAACTAAGGCGTGCCATTCAAAATAAACGAAGAGGAATGCTCAGTAAAGGAATTGTGTTGCTCCATGACAATGCTCGGCCCCATACTACTGCTGTCACTCAATCGTTAATTTGAAAATTTCATTGGGAGCAGTTTCGATCACCCGCCATACAGCCCAGACTTGGCGCCGTCCGACTATCACTTGTTCCTGCACATGAAGCGCGAGCTTGGTGGCAAGCGCTTTGCATCTGACGATGACACGAAAAATGCTGTGGAGTTATCGAAACTGGCGGGAAGTTTCTTTGACGATGGTATACAAAAACTGGTAACCCGCTATGACAAGTGTTTGATCATTGGTGGAAACTATGTTGAAAAATAGTTTAAGACATGTATTTTCATGTAAAAATAAAATTGGATTCTAAAAATTGTTTTAATATTTTTTTTTCAAAACGGTACTTAGTTTCCGAATACGCCTCGAATATATATATATATAAAATTATATTACACTGTCTACTAGTCTAGAGACAATTGACCAAATGCGAAAATTTTGATTTTGAACACGAGTATAGAATAAAATATTATCAGTGCTGCAATGCAAGTTCTTTTTTCCTTTTCTTTTTTGCCGACACACTCTGTAGGGAATAATTCTCTAACAGATTAAAATTTTTTTTCACTTCATAATTGTAATTACAAAGTATAAAACTCAGATGTGGACACTAAGACTTCCACGTATGCCTCTTAAATTATACACATTTTCTGCTGCACTTTATTTAAACTTACTTCATCAAATTATTCCAACTTAATTAACTGACTAATTTTTCAAGCCAAGTTGAAAATATCAAAAACTGCGAATTTTGAAATTAAATATTCAGTGAATCTTTGTCGTACAGGTGAAAAACTTCTTGTATTTTAATTTTTTCATAACGAGTATAAAACTTTCCCTCATATAATTATAGGAACCAGCAGACAACTCTAAAGTTAAATTTCATTATTTGTATAAAATTAATTTCTTTCTAAATTTGAAAATGCCAAAACATGAATATGTTTGTCATTTAAAACACTTTTATAATTGGAAGTATATGTCTACAACCAACAATTCCGAAAATAAAGGTTAAGAGGGTGGGTATACATATGTACCTTTGGTACTGCTGACTGCAATAAAAAAGGGAGATGCATAACCAGATGTTACAGCAGTTCCATATACAAAATAATTCTTTCATGAAAAGATGCATGCATATGGATAGACATCACAAAAAATCCATTTTGGAATAAATAGTCCTTCATTCTGTGTGTATGTACAGATGTCATGCAAAAAAATAGTCAAAATAGATATTTCTGCTGAAATCTGAAACCTAAAATTTTTTTGATTTCAATACTTCCTTTAGTTTGCACATAAGAAGTAAAAAATAGCAAGTCAGTTTATTTCAGTGAAATAGCAAGTCAGTTATTAAACATTGAAAGGATAAATCACTGTACACAGCTTTGGCAGGAATACAAATGAATAAAAATGTATTCAACCATCAATTACTGGAAAGAAGACATTTTATAATCAGCAGAAAAAGTAGACAGAAATAGCAGTCCTGGGCAAAGGCAACAATTGATACAAATCTGACAGCTAACAAACTGTAGATGATTGCAAGGCTAGATTTCAACTCCAGTAATTGCCACACTTTGGGATATTTTATGAAACTTGGATAAAAGCTATGTTAATCACAAAGAATACTGTAAGAAACTAGTAGTAAATGCTTCAGGCAAGTATAGACTTGGTGACACAATAACTCAGGGATCTTTACAACAGATCACCAGACTTCTGAAACAGGTAGTTCCACAAGTTTATATACAAAGACTATTTTTTAAAGCATGGTGAAGGCTGTATTAAACTGCTGATGTTCATACTGACAGAGTTCTGAGACCACAACTTGGCTAACTCTCATTACCACTGGACTAAACGAAATTAGAAAACTATTATTCATTTAAATAAATAAAGATACCAACTGCATCAAGCAGATGACAGTATGTGCATGTTGTTGAAGCATCACAAAGCAATAAATCCGTCACGCTAAAATTCGTTTTACTAATAGATGGCAGTAGTGCAGTAATCTGGGAAGCATTTACTTGCATATTCTTATAATTTTCAATTATCTTCAGGAAGATCTCTAATGGGATCAGAGTATGTTAACTAAGTACAGTGTAAAAACACTATACAAAGTCAGCTAATTTTTTTCTTCCATTTCCTTCCAAATAATGATGCCATTTTCCAATGAGATAATGCCCTGTACCACCATTCATAATCACCAATCACCACAAGATTGACTGTAAGGATAATCCAGTAAATTTTTAACAATCAAATGGTCATCTACCTCTCCAAATTTTAATCCAATTGAGAATTTGTTGAATGAATTGAAATGCTCTCTACAAGTTATTAATATGTTGCTACTGTGAAGGATTTTTAGCTAGAAATTCTAAAATACTGGGAGAAAACATGACCATCTTGCTACCCCCCCCCCCAGGGATCAATGTTACCACCATTATTCAAGAGAAAAATTAATCAACAAGCTACTGACTAAAAGTATATAAAAATTTATCAACTTAGTACATTTTTGCAAGGAAATTAACATATTATTGTATTTTAAAACCTCAAAACTGTTTAATTAACCTTAAGTTAATTTATCTTAATTTTACTATGCACTAGCATCTGAGATTTGGAAAAGGGCAATTTCTTAAATTTTAACTTTATCAGAAAATGTTAACAGTTAAAATGATTGCCAAACCACAGCATTCTGATTTGTGATTAAAACTCAAGCATTTTCTCAGATAAGACTGGAACATACGAAAAGAAAAAGAGCTTACTGTTGGAGTTCTTCTTTTATCCTTTCTCCTGGACTTTTTCCTATGACGCCTAGCATGTTCATCTATGCAAAATAAAGAAAAATGAGCTAGGACTCTAATGCAAAAAATAGATCAAGTTTTGTTTAGTTGTATTGTGATACACATCATCATAATCAGCTCCATAACTTTCACAACAAAATATATAACACAGTAAATACTGTTATTCAGATTAGTATGCTTCCTCCCAAACATAAATAAAAAAAAAGGCACTGTTTTTGAGACCTTGTTCCAGTATTTTCTCAATAGTAACAGAAACATCCAGAAGACAAACAGTTGCAATAAAACTGCATTATCATGCAATGGGAAATGCCTGTTAAATAGAAATACCTTAGGAAGATTCTCTCTACATACTATCTGCACTAAATACATTTAGAAATATAATAGCTGATTAAAATTTTTTCTGATATTTGTAACAAAACAACTGCAATTATTAAAAAAAATGTTATAACATATTCCATGAAACTATATAATTATATATAAATAACAAAATGTCCTATAACATAAAAACAATCCATGTTTAAGAATTTTTTCAATTCTTCTGTAAATTTATACTTTTGAAATATGCATAAAAACATACCTAAATATATTTTCCTTGTACAAGGAGCACCCATAAACTAATCAAAAAAAAAAAAAAAAAAAAAAAAAAAAAAAAAAAAAAAAAAAAAAAGAGAATATGTGTGCTTAAAAAAAGTGACATCTCAACTCCAGTATATGAAGCCAGTTTAAGCTTATTTAACCGTTTGCACATCAACATGCAGAAGTCACTTTCATTTTATTTTATGAAAAAATGATATGCTGTCCCTCAGTCTGAAAGCACGAGGAAAATGAGAAGAAAATTAATTTTTTGGTAAAAGCTGATAGGCATGTGACAACTTCACAGCTTGGTTGGGATAAGCAAAGAAAACTGTAACTTAATTTTAACTGAAAATGAGGAAAATTTGTGTGCGATTTGTGTCTCATATTTTGACAGAACAACAAAAAGAAGACAAAAAAAGCTTGCTGTGAAGATTTGCAGACTAATGTAAGACAAGACAACAATTTCTTAAATTGTATTCTAGTGGGAGATGAAACCTGGTGTCTACAATATAAGGCAAAATCAAAACTACAAATTGGGGGGGAGAAAAAAAAAAAAAAAAAAAAAAACACCACACACACGGATGTGGAAATTAAGACTAATGCTGATGTATTTTTTGATTACAAAGGACTTAATTCACCATGATTATAATTCCTGAAATGCAGTATCAAATCCTATCTATACTGAATCAAATGATCAGTATTTTTACGAGCAGGCATTTTTTTTTTTTTTTCCGATTAAGAAACAGGATAAGGAGAGTTAGGAAGAAAATTTATAATTCTGTGCAATACAGTCAAAAGTTGTTAATCCGGACTCGTTAGGACTTCGGCGATTACGGATTATCGATTTTTCTGGTTATCAGTTTAAATATGGTAAGATGGCATGCAGAAATTATAAAATTAAAAATATGAAACCGTAATTTATGAAATAAAGAACAATTATGATCTAAAAGGTATCAAAATTTACAAAAAAAAAAAAAAAAAAAAAAAAAAAACTTAATATTTATTTGTTTACTTTATTATACATTTCTTTCAATGTAAGTTGTTTAAGTTGCTTCGTTTTATGTGATAATACTTTCTCTTTAATTCTATAAACAGACATAATTTCTTGTTCAGTTACAAAGTTCCGCTGTTCAAGTCCTATAATTACTGCGTCGAGAATACCGACTAATTTGCCAATCGAAATTTTTTCATTTTCAATAACCTCTGTGTCACTTTCTTCACTATCGGAAGCGAATTATAATGATGAGGAATTTGATTCAAATCATATCAAAGACGGAGTACATCGAGATGAAATACTACATTTAGTAAAGAATTATAAGCCAAATAAAATAAAAACATCTGCCCTGAAGATAAGGATAGTGCTGACAGATCAACTTCCAATTCACTGCGCGCCGAGGCGATAAAAATTGCTTATCTTGTAAAATAATTTTTGGAAGCGCTGTTCAAATTATTCCAAAGTTTTAATTGATAAAATCCATCAATAAAGTTTAAAATTAATAAAACAACACAATAAAGACTATTTGCAGTAAGAAGTAACAAAATTTAAAATGAAGATTGAGTGTGGTAAATTTCGAAGCATAAAGAAGTATCACTTTTTAACTCTTAGAAAAGGTATCACTTTCCAATTCTTTAGAATCATCACTCTCATCTGTGTTAGTAAATGGTTCTTTAACCATATGAGGGCATTCTTCCTCTGATAAATAGCGTCCTCCCATAATAGACTGGAAGTGAGGCTTTCCGAAATAAAAAGAGAAGAAACGGAAATATATCTGAAGGCAATGCAAAACGTAACAAAACTCCACATAGTAACCCTTAAAGACTGTACATAGTAGGGGGGGGAATAGAATGAAAAAAAGGAACTGGATATAAATCAGACATGCGAATTGAATGTTTATATTAGCACACAGCGATTTAAAGAGCCCACCTCTATTTACGCTAAAATACCAAAGTCAGGCATAATATAGCAAACTCAAGGCCAGAAACCTAAAACTGTGTTCACTTCAAAAGTAATGGACATAGGATGTCATCTCGTGGTCTTCAGAAAAAAACATTCCAGCTTTAAATGTGTATACGCATCACTTGTCCTCTGAATGCAATTTCTAGTGCCCGGCTGTAAGAGACGTTCTCAGGAAATGCGTATATGGGATGCCCGTCCTGAAAGGCTTAAGTGACACATGTCTTGTTATGTATACATATTGTAATATTCGTTTAAAAGACCAGAAAAGGAATACTTATATGAACAAATAACTACTGCTAATCGTTTAAAGAAGAAAAATATACCTACCCTATGCCCATATGTGTTTAAGTGACAGACTACAACTCTCAGTAGTTTTCAAGTATAAAAATGTGCCAAAATGGAAAAGAAGAATATTTTCAGAACATCATGAAAATGTGTTTAGAAGCTAATTTCTGCTACATAAATTAGATCACTTAGCTATATGGGATGATTTAGGAGAATATGTCCCTGGCTCAGATAACCTTCCTTATGTAAATATTATGATACACAAATATATACCACTCTGTGCATATTTTGAGAAAGAAGCAATTAAAAAAAAAGCAACTAAAAGATAAGCCAATAATTGCAGTGGCCGATAGCACATCTGACAAACAAGGAAGGTACGTATTTGCAGTCATACTGAAACCTACTGAATCAAAAACAAGTCATGCTACACGGTGAGCACAAATTCTTTTAAATGCTGTTCATTCTTTTACTTGCTCTCAAGAAATGGTTGACACTTTGAAAGAATATGAAAGACAGTGTTCCCACGTAAGATATCTAGAATCAAATTCTGCACACTACATGAGTGTCTGCTTCAGCTTACAAAAAATACTTATGGAAAGACCATATTTTGCACTACCAAATGTTAGATACATAAAGCAAATCTTGTTGGCGAGATAGTTATATAAGAATTTATTCACATGAAGGTTTAAAAAGGTCAAATTACATATTCATTCACATCTTGTGGAGTCAGCCAGATAATTTAAAATCCTCTCATGTGCCAAAATGATGGTTATTTAAAGGACAAGACAGAATGTATTTTTACAAATGGGAAAGGTGAAGTTGATCAGAAGCACAAAATTACAAGAGCAGAGATTTTAAACAAATTGATTCTACATATGCCATCCAAAATAATAAATGAATTCTCTTGCAGATTATTTTGTTCACATGTAGCTGCAAGCATCACTACATCAGCTTTGAAGCCAACTTATTACTGGCAACATTCTCTAAAATACCATATTTTGGAATGTCTTTAAAACACCATATTCCAAAAGACAAGCTTATTAATGGATAGTCATTTTCATAAAGACACCCATGTTGATATCATACAGATTTTTAACGCATCAACATTCTGCCAAAAAACTTCACAAAGACTTACATAAACTCAACTTAAGCAATTCCTTATTTTCTATTCTTGTTTCATCCCCCCCAACATGCTGATCATATTGCACACATTAGCATCTTCTTAGCATCAACAGGTATGGATGTGTTTCACATGATGTCCATGCATAATTTTGATTCAAAGCCTTCACAGTATCATCAACAGTATAAATACTGAGAAATATTTTATTATCTATAACATTATAATTACAGAAAGAAGGGAAAAAAACTCACCCAGAAGACTATCAAGACTACAACAATGTTAGTTTTTAATAAATTCCCCCCCCCATATTACCACAGCAGTTTATTTTACAACAGTATGGGTTAAAAACTACATATTTCTATTTCTTACTGCTTTGTGAATAAATGAAAATTTTCACCTTTGATTTTTTGTTTTTTCAAAATTTTACTGTTTTAAATGTGAAAATTATGTATCCCTAATTATTACTAATTACTCAAATGTATAGAAAAATTCTTGTCTTACACGAACTCAAGCTAACTTTCCCTATTTTCTACTCCTGTTTTGTCCGCCCCTTCACCCAACATTCAAATCATCTTGCATGCATTAGCATCTTACTTGCAACAACAGGTATAAATGTGTTTCACATGATGCCCATGCCTAATTTTGATTTCTACAGTCCTCTCCTGAAGAGGAATCCTACTAATGAAAAGTTGATCAAGCTGGGTTCTTCTTCTTCGAGAGAAGTATCTCAAAGAAAGTAATTAAAATACATAGAATCATTTTTTTCAATAGAATGGCTCACATTCCAGCCCTTTACCTGGTTTCGTGCACAGATTATTTCAAAGCAGGATCATAAAATTAATTGATGGAACTTAGAATTTATTATAATGTTTAAAAATTATGTCATCTAAATGAAGTAATAGTGATCCACATGTAGTTAGAAAAAGGAAACATTAACACTGTGATAAAGTTTAATATTAATTAGGATTTTGAAGCAGAATGAAAATTTGTGAACTGACAGAAAAATATCAGCTACCAGAACCAATGGGAGTAATTTGTAAGAATCACAGTATTATTGAAAACATGAAAACAATGCTAAAATTATG